TACTGCGAGGCTCCGAAGACATATCAAATGAATGTCAAAGAGTCCTAACGTAGAAAATATTGAAGAATGCAATTAAATGAATACTATGCGTAACTCCCTTGATAGAGTATAGGCACAATGGGTGTCTATTGAAAGAGAGAAGCAATTAGTTTAATCCAGATGAATCAGATTGATAGGATTAGAATCGAGGAGAGCTGATTTGCCTCCGGATGAGGTGACAAACGATCAAAGTAAGTGTTGAACAGCAATGACAGTTGAACACCATTCGAGTCATTCTCCAAAACAATTAAATTAAATGAATAACGAAGTACCTACCTATGTTTGGAGGTATAGTTGAATCTTGGAACCATTGTGGACCAAATAAGGACATGAGGATTCAAATTAAATAGTATCTGACCGATTGTAGAAGTTTCCTTGCGGTTCCGAATGTTTATTGTATTAAATTAATTGTACTGTGCGACTCTATATTCTGTATGTATAAATAGCGATCCGATGTATCTGGAATACAAGTGATTTTGGGACGACGTTGCAGTGCTAATCTGTAAAAAGGAAAGACACACTCCCGCCAGACTGAAACCTCTTCGCTAGCAGCCATTCGGGCCCGGCACTTGTGAGTATAGGAACATCGTGTTCTGCTCCTTGTGACTGCGAGAAGTATATCCAGTTGTTGGGTATTCTTCGAACTTAGGATCAGTCGTTGGTCTTAAGGGCAAATCACACTGTGTGGTTGTGCCAGCACATAGTTCTAGCCCTCTGTAGGAGTCTGTGTGTTTCGGTTTTAATTTACTTTGATTCAAACCCCCAATTCTTGATATACCCATATCAATACAATCAAAGCACAAATCGTGCTGAATCTACCTTGATCAAAGGAATATATCGAATCCTTAGAACAATTCAAATTGATTCATTAAAGCTTCTTACTTAGCTCTCAAAGCTTTGCGGAACCTTTGCCAACACTACCCCTTGCTATTAAATTTGATAGCAGTGAACTCGCATATTGTGTATTAGATTGGTTGGTTGGAGTGCCCATTAGATTCCTTCTTTTCTCTTTCACACAAAAACGAGGCAAGCTCGTTATCGAGGGCAATGGTCATAAGGAGGGGGGTAATGTCATGAAGTACGTAGCCCCTATCATTTTCCTTTTCTCACCGTCTCTATGCCCTTATTTGTACAATACATCACTCCATCACTTTCACGTCCCACCACTGTCAAACCCTCATCGATTACTGAGCCACCTGACCCCCTTCATCAATTACCCTTCTCCTTCTACCGGCTTCCGCCACCTTCTTTACTCTCAAACTGTACAGTATTACATCGTCAGTTCTCGCAGACCAGATTGTGTATATAAAGCCAACCCCCACTACCTGGTCCCTTATCTTGACCTCTCTGTCATTATCTTGGGACCAGGTACGTGCTTACTTGCCAGTACTTACAACTACGATACTAATATAACTCTGTCATCATCTTGGGACCAGCTTGGGACCAGTCCGCCTCTGCTCTGCTTAGTCACTCCGCATTACCACTCTGCTCAGTCGCTCCGCACCGTTGCTCTGCTCAATCGCTCTGCCTCCCTGGTCTAGTCACCCTGCCGCTGTCGCTTTGTGACAAGAACCAGTCACTGACAGAAGATCAAAGCTATTCTTACCACCTGTCACACGCTACACAATTATATCCCTATCACAGTTATCCCCGCTCACATTTTTACCAACCCTTTACAGACTTCTACTCTCTCTTCGAGCAGTGTCGCCTATAGTACAAAGGTGTAATGTTGAGTCCAACACTGTACTGGCAGACAAAAGCGTCGACTGATCACTAATCTTTGGAGAGGGGTCTTTGCATGCACAGCGAGCTCCATTCCTAGACAGGGAGGGTGCATCTGTTCATCAGTCGAGAGTGGAAGTGTAAGACCTGGGTCAAAATGGGTCTTAGGGTAGGTTTTGGTATGCGAAGGTTTATGTTGTAGCGTGCTAGGAGCAGGCTGGAGCTCGAAGGGAGCTACGAGAACCGCGACCGAGGACGGGAATGACCTAGTAGTGGTTGGAACGACGAGATGGTGACCCTTGTGGGGTTCCTAGGAGGTCCAGGGAGGTCCCTAACGCGTAGGGAGGTTCAGGAAGAGTGCGGGACCGTACGATATTGCGTAGTAGGAGTTGTACTCGCTAGAACGTCAATATAGGATCGAGTAGGTAGTTTATGCAACTGGGGCTCGAGGGTGTAAGCTCCCGAGAAGGGATACGCCAGGGAGGGTAGGTCCCTGGGGGCTGGGGTTGAGGATGGTCGTCCTCGAGTGTGGGAGGTGGTAACGGAGAAGCAATACGTAGTTCGACGTGAGGGGTAGCTTCGACGTTACCTAGACTGAGGTCCCGAAGCTTACGAAGTAGCTAGGGAGCTCTGGGAGGTTTGGGGAAGGGTAGCTCACCAAGCGGGTAGGCGTTGGGGAGCTTTAGTAATGTTCGAGGGAGCTCGGAGACTCACTCGGAAGGCTTAGACTTGAAGTAAAAGCGTATATTCGATCGTATAGACGATCAGAGAGACGATAGACAGTAGTAGAGAGAAACAGAAGTAGAGAGACAGAGAGTAGAGAGAATTCCGTATAGGTAGCAGGTACAAAGGGACAGGGACTGGACCTATGTAAAGGGTGTGTGTTCAAAATATACCAAGCTGGGCTTCTGGACGCTACTGGACTGCTTAAATACGTATAGGGAAGTTAACAAAGAGACATAGTACGAAACGGGCACTTAATGGGGTTTCTAAGTACATCAGGACGGACAGGAGGACGGAATGATGGGCGCATGTGCGGGGTTCCAGGACCCTGTCGTGGAGTGGTTCGGTTGCATTGAGGGGAACTAAGATTAGTGGAGGTTGTCCTGGCCGTGAGGAGGTTTGCGGCGTTGGGGGTGTTCTCAGGGGTTCAGAAGTGGTTGAGGAGGTAAGGGGGGCTGAGGAGGTTGGGAACTACGTCAAGGAGCTTATGGGATATGGAATTTGGGGCGAGGCATGACAGGAAGGCTGCTTCCCACATCATCGTACTCTATTTTTGAAATCTTCCCCACATTACTTCTGACTTCTACAAATCCAATCATACATTTTCCCATCATCACCACCGAGTTGCATTAGTAACTCGTCTTCCCTATAATGGATTTTACCTCAAGACTAGGATGACCTAGACTTTTGGTACAAACCGATCGTTACCGCACCCTCGATTCATCTGCTCCATCCACCTCATCTTCAATTGAACGGAACATCACCTCATTCATACCCGCTTACATACCACCTGACTACAGCATGTCTAATCCTACTTCCAATCCCGCCCCCGTTACCACTTCCCAGATTCATGGCAAGTCGTTGCTTAGAGAACCTTGTATCTTTGACGGCGACAAAACCCAGTTCAAGGAGTGGCGCCGTGCCTATATTTGTGATCCAAGGAACAAGGTCACTAAAGACAATGAGCAAATTGACATTGCAATCTCATATATGCAAGGTCCCAAAGTCAGTAGCTGGGTCCAGAACTATACAGATGATAACTTCAATGATGACAAGGAGGAATGGAGAGTCACATGGAAAGGATTTAAGGATGCATTGAATGCCTCCTTCCTAGATGAAGGACTCACAGAGAATGCACAGGAGAAGCTAGAACATCTCCATCAAGGCCCCAATGAGAGGGCAAAGGATTTCTTCAAGAAATTTGAAGTCATCATGCGAGATGCTGGATATGCCAAGGATGCCCCCTATGTCATCAGGCTGATTGAGATGAACGTAAAGCCAAAGTTGATCGATCAAGTATATGGTACTAGCAATGAGCGAATCGAGAAATTTGATGAGCTCAAACAGAAGATTATCAGCATCAATGACATGTGGTGGCGTTGTGAAGAAATGCGACGCAACTGGTCAAGCAGATACCAGCGGGATGCTGGGCAAGGACCTAGTAACCAAAGATAGCAACCACAGATGACACAGACCCCAGTGACTAAGACTCCAACCCCTGCGGTACCCACCCAGGATAAGAAAGACGGTACCGGAACCACTTTCAAAGGTGCAGGCAGACCAATGGACATTGACGCTGCACATTGCGAAAGGGAATGCTTCCATTGTGGTAAGCAAGGCCACATTGCGAAGTTCTGTCCAGAGAAAGTGCCGAAACCGCAGTTTGTCAGAGGCATGTGGAGCTGGATGACACAGGAGGATCAGGAGGCCATGGCCAAGGAATTGGGTTTTGTCCTGCCCCAGCAGTAGACGCAGGTTTGCCGGGGCCAATCTCAGAATCAGTATCGGACTTTTTGTCATTGTCATATGTAGACAGTCAATTTAGTTTTGAATTTGGTAGTATGTTAAGATCATGTACACCGTGTAACCGTGCCAGAGGTCACAGGGTGTCTAAGTGTGGGAGTCGAGTGGGACAGTAGTGAAGTTATTGACAACACCGCTGTTACGCCTTTAGTCCCCGGAGATCGAGAGTATAGAAGAGAGGAACCAGTAGCAGCCAAGTCGGAGCGGTGGTATCGCTGGTGATGAGGAGCGAGCCAGAGAACTTATAAGTCCAAAGGCTATAGAGAGAGCTTCGAGGTAATGAGCCTGAAGACTTAAGAGATGGGCTGAGATAGAAAGGGAGTCTAAGTCGATAATTAAACTGAGGAACTACTGTAGCGTACAGGCAGTATTTATATCTACGGATCGGCGTATCAGGGCGGAATGCCTGACTAACTACTAGGAGCTATACATGTAGTCCTGCAGGGTAAAGTAAAAGACAATAAAGAGAGACTAGAATGAAAGGGTATGTGTAGCGAGAAAGAACAATAAGGAAGACACTGTGGGGAAGAACACGTTTTGGCACCTCCAAAATCCATCCATTATCCGTAGATTTTTACCAAAAATTGACTGATTTTGGGATGTCGAAAAGTTTGTATATTTCTCATATAGCTGGATATAGAATATGAAGTTCATATTGTGCAGTTATTCTGAATTATCTACCAATAATATTGAGGATATAATAATGACTTTGTGCCTCACAATTTGTTAATATTTTTGGCTGCTCGAAATTTGAAATAATTGTAACATAACCTACCAGTGAACATGAGGAACATAGTCCGAGCTTATTTGAAACAATCATACAATATTCTCCCATAGATAATTTAAAATTTTTGCGAGATATTCACCTAACAAAAAACATGAGGTTTTTCAAAATAACCTCGCCGAGGTTATGCATACCCGATGTTGGGACATCGAGACGTCAAGATGTCGTTGATATCGGGACATCGAGACACTGGAATGTCGTTGATATTGAGACATCCAAACATAGAAATGTCGCTGGTGTCGGGATATTGAGATGCGTGACATTCAGGAAATTCGGGACATGTTGGAACATGCCAGTTTTCACCTAGTATTAGGTTAGTATTGACCACCACGACCTATGTAGGAATGACATAACTTCTGGCCCCATCCATAAATACACAGAAGGCCCTGAGGAAGGCTTTTCTTATCATTTCACAGAACATAGTGGCTGCCTGTGGCTGCACTGGCACATCCTGAATGTCCTGGATGTCACGCGTCTTGATATCCCGACCACCAGTGACGTTTCTATGTTTGGACGTCTCGACATCGACGACGTTCCGGTGTCTCAATGTCCCGATATCAACGACGTCTTGACGTCTCGATGTCCCAACATCGGGTATGCATAACCTCGGCGAGGTTATTTTGAAAAACCTCATGTTTTTTGTTAGGTGAATATCTCGCAAAAATTTTAAATTATCTATGGGAGAATATTGTATGATTGTTTCAAATAAGCTCGGACTATGTTCCTCATGTTCACTGGTAGGTTATGTTACAATTATTTCAAATTTCGAGCAGCCAAAAATATTAACAAATTGTGAGGCACAAAGTCATTATTATATCCTCAATATTATTGGTAGATAATTCAGAATAACTGCACAATATGAACTTCATATTCTATATCCAGCTATATGAGAAATATACAAACTTTTCGACATCCCAAAATCAGTCAATTTTTGGTAAAAATCTACGGATAATGGATGGATTTTGGAGGTGCCAAAACGTGTTCTTCCCCACAGTGAGAGATTACAATAAACGGTAGATCTTCGGAATACCGAGTGGCAAGATGGAGGCCCGAGGCATGGGCTTGACATAGTACTGGTATGCCCAATAAAAATAACCTATCTACAATGACGAACCAAACTGAGGAAAAACCTGAGAGATATGAACCAAACACACCTGAATGGGTGGCGCAGTGGTTACAAATGGACAAACTCCCCATGGCTATAGGAATTCTTAGAGCCTGGATGCCTGAAAGCCATGTCAGAGAGGCATTGGAAGAAACGGTAACGGCTATACGAAATCTAAATCATGCAACCACAATGGAAGCAGTTACCAGTCTCAAAAGTCGCAAGAGATTTGTCCGAGGTACCCGAGGACGTGAGCTGAAGTTGGACTACTATCGAGAATATTGACAATGGTATGCAGATTGAAGCAGAAGCCCTCCTAGACAGTGGAGCCACAGGGTCCTGTATCAATAAGGATTTTGTAGAACAGTACCAGCTTACTGTCAAGGAGTTACCAGTCAAAATGCCGGTCTATAATGCCGATGGCACTCTGAATAAAAATGGTTCCATAGAAGGCTATGTACAAGTCCGAATGGTGATAGGTGATTATGCCGACCGAATAGATATGGCAGTTACCAATTTAGGCAAGACAGATATCTTCCTAGGCATAGACTGGCTACGTTATCACAATCCCAGCATTGATTGGAAGGAATCTATGTTAACGTTCAAACATTGTCCTGACAAATGTGGGTATTTGCCACACCATGAATCACCTGAGGATGATGGTACAGGGGAAAAGCTTGTCAATGGTGAACAGATCTTCTGGTTCGATTGGAATGGGTATCTTTCCGACCAAGGTCATATCAAAGTACAAACTGCTACTACAGATGCCGCTACTCCATACCTCAATGAGTATGTGTCATGCCCTGCCTAAAACCAGACCAGCCCCAGTACCCGCCACACGTTGTCACACACTCTATACACCTCCTGCACTTCCCCTACACCTCCCAAGTCACCTCCCCAAGTACCATCATGCACTTCCATCCTGCACCTCCCCCACACAAGTACCACCATATACCTACCCAAACGTCCTTCACCGACACACGTACATTCCCCGGCGCGCATACAGGACCCCCTATAGCAACTCCATTAAGTATCAATCTCGATTACCGCCTCATGTTCACTAGATCCCCTGATGTTCCCTTGTCCACTTCCCGTACCTATTTAAGTAGCTCTGACACGTCCCCAAGCCCCAGCTTGGTATATTTTGAACACACACCCTTTTGCATAGGTCCAGTCCCTGTCCCTTTGTACCTGCTAACCATACGGATTTCTCTTTACTCTCTGTTTCTCTACCTCTGTTTCTCTCTACTTCTGTCTATTGTCTCTCTGATCGTCTATACGATCAAATATACGCTTTCACTTCAAGTCTAAGCCTTCCGAGTGAGTCCCCGAGCTCCCTCGAATATTACTAAAGCTCCCCAACGCCTACCCGCTTTGGTGAGCTACCCTTCCCCAAACCTCCCAGAGCTCCCTAGCTACTTCGTAAGCTTCGGGACCTCGATCTAGGTAACGTCGAACTACGTATTGCTTCTCCGTTACCACCTCCCACACTCGAGGACGTCCATCCTCAAGCTCAGCCCCCAGGGACCTACCCTCCCTGACATATCCCTTCTCGGGAGCTTACACTCTCGAGACCCAGTTGCATATACGCCCTACTCGATCCTATATTGACGTTCTAGCGAGTACAACTCCTACTACGCAATACCGTACGGTCCCGCACTCTTCCTTAACCTCCCTACGCCTTAGGGACCTCCCTGGACCTCCTAGGAACCCCCTCAAGGGTCATCATCTCATCGTTCCAGGCACTACTAGGTCATTCCCGTCCTCGGTCGCGGTTCTCGTAGCTCCCTTTGAGCTCCAGCCTGCTCCTAGCACACTACAACATAAAACTTCATATACCAAACCTACCCTAAGACCTATTTTGACCCAGGTCTTACAGTATGCTGATGTATTTAGTAAAAAGGATTTTGACCAAATGACGACCATGGGATCATGCTATGGGTTAACACCAGGCTCTAAGCCAGTTGATTGCAAAGTTTATCCCCTCAGTCCACCAGAACAGAAAGCTCTAGATGAATTCCTAGAAGAAAATCTTAGATCGGGACAAATACGACCATCACATTCACCCATGGCCTCACCTTTCTTCTTTGTCAAAAAGAAAGATGGGACACTATGACCTGTGCAGGACTATCAAAAGTTAAATGACATGACTGTCAAGAATCGGTACCCACTCCCATTGATCCAGGAACTCATTGACAAAGAATTCCAAAATCTTCACCAAGATGGACGTCCAATGGGGATTCAATAACATCTGGATCAAAGAAGGAGATGAATCTGTACAATCCAATACACGCTTCTACTTCACGTCTAAGCAACCCGGCTGAGTCTTTGAGCTCCCTTGACCAATACTAAAGCTCCCCAACATCTATTGTTTTGGTGAGCCAACCTCCCCCAAACCACCTTGAGCTCCCCAACTGCTCCACAAGCTCTGGGACCTTGACCTAGGTAATGTCGAAGCTATCCCTTACGTCAAACTACATGTTGCTTCTCTGTTACTCCCTCCACCACTTGAGGATGTCAACCACTACCCCCACTTCCCGGGACCTCATTCCTGGGCTTATACCTTGTCGGGAGCTCTCATGTTTGAGACCCACATCAACTACAATCTACAACAATCCTACGTTGATGTTTCTAGCTAGAACCACCCATACATACTATGCAACACTTTTACGTCTACTGGTCCCTGTTACTTCCATCTTCCTCCATTAATGGCCTAGGGACCTCCCTGGACCTTCTAGGAACCCCTTCAAGGGTCACATCTCACAACTGGAACTACTACTACGTCATTCCTGTCCTCGGTCGCAGTTCCCGTAGCTCCCTTCGAGCTCCAGCTTGCTCCTAGCATGCTACAACATAAACCCCCCATACCAAACCCAATCCTAAGACCAATTCTGACCCAGGTCTTACAAGTTCAAGGGCAAGGAAGGTGGCGGAAGCCAGTAGAAGGAGAAGGAGGGTCAGGTTGATCAGTAATTGATGGGGGATTGACAGCAATGGAATGTGATCATGGTGGGATGATGTATCGTACAAGTAAGGGCTTCGAGATGGTGAGAAAGGAAAATAATAGGGGCTACGTACTTCATGACAGGGAGGTTCTGAAGGAAGGTTGAGGAAATGATGATTAACTGGTCAGGGCATGACATCAATACCTTAAGACCCTACCTTAGGACTTATTGTCCCTTGGTCTGCTCCTCATTGTTGGCATTACCCCCGCTACTCATGTCTCTATCATCCCTCTCTCTACTCTATTTCTCCAGGAATGAACAGCATGATGGCAGTTTCATTAATAACTTCACTACTGTCTTATTCGATCCTCCACACTTAGATACCAACTGGCCCTTTATCTCCAAAGGCATGGCTTGTTGGTATGATCATTATTTTTTGAATTGGGTTGTACTTGTGTCCACCTAAAACCCCATGCATTTCTCAAATGGCAATGAAAATGATGCCTCTGTTGATTAGTTTGATTTAAAAAGAATGATCACAAAAGTTTAATCAACAAGGTAACAGACATTAACTTCTCTTAAGACATTCTTCCTTTCATTGATGGTCATAGAGCTTACTGATGGAAGAAATATACGTGAGTATACATGGCGTAGACATCGAATGGTGCCTTTTCAAGACTCTTGACTAGACGGTTTTTTCAGAGGTGATCTGAAGTGCCCAGGCTTTCAAAGGGGCACAGAACTTTTGCCGTAACCTGTGCGGCACTGCGTGGGACTGGTGCCGCACAGTTCCGCGCAGTTCCGCGCAACTTTATGCAGTTCCGTGCAATTTGTAAATATACAATATTGTGTACAAGATCCTCCCACATAGTCATATTGCTTCACAATTTGAGCTCCAGACAATGATATTGTACAATGGAGCTCTATAGGTCCAATTTGATTCTCCTATCCTGAAAATTTATCTAATACTCAACTTTGTTCTGGTGTCTTACTAACAATGATTCAACATGTGAGTAATTGGTATTTGTGAGATATTCAATGTAGTCATTGCCAATACTGCTATGTACCTGAATAGCTACAATCACATTAATAGTTTGAGGGGGATTGTCTGTTTAATGGGACTCTCATTGCTCTGATTGTTAGGTACAGAAGCTACATGTAGGATCTGCACAAGTTATATGCAGATCTGTGCAAGTTACGTGCAGGATACATGCAAGTTATATGCAGGTCCGTGCAAGTTAAGTGCCGATCCGCACAAGTTACATGCAAATCCATGCAGATTGAGGGACAGAACTTCTGGAGTAACAGTTTCTGCAAAGTAACTGCCACACTTCACTGCAGTTCTGTCTACATCCAAATGTATCTCACTTGCCTGTCTGATTATTCTAAGCTTCTTTTTTGTTCAATTGTTTTATGCTCTCTTCCTGTGTGTCAAGTTCAGATATTAGTCAGCTACACAAGTACGGAACTGAGTCCCCTGATCAATATACATGTAATACCCCCACCATGGAATGAATTTCATGTCTACAACACCTGCATGAAAATGGCATACTATACACTGGATATACTTGATGATATTCCTGGAGGCTCATCCATTCACCATTGCTCAGCACATGCTTGCATGTATACATTGTAGCTGCATGCTTCTGCATTGTGAATGTATACATATATTGCAACTGCATGTGTCATTATCCTTACTTCAATTCCTCCTCCATTGTTACCCTCATCTCCATAGTTTGTACACTTGCCAGAGATGTTAATTGAATCTGCAAAGTTGATTATAGAGACTGTCAAGAAGCCATTGAACTTGATCTAGTTCAATACAATTGCAAGGAACTACAAGCTTACTTCTCAACAGTGTTGTATATGAGCCAATCAATGACATGCTACCCTCAGATACCATTGAAATTTCCAACCAGATTGAATTACAGTAATGTAGCACCAT